GAATAAATGTCTGATAATATGTGACTATTTTACAATTTCATTTTAAATATAAAGGCATCTACACTCATCCATGCACAGACCATTTTCTCATTTACCCCAGTCAATTGTCTCCTCTCCCTATCATGTTTTTCCAGAACAAAATGTGCAATCACTTGAAATGCTAAAGGAGAATGGAGGTGAAAGCAGAACACTACCTGAATTCATTCACTGTTATACAAAGCAGCGAGATCTAAGTTGTGATTGTGGGTGCTGATAGCATCCTAATTTAGTCCGCCTCTCTTATATTGTTGAGTCATTCCAAGTCAAATGAGTGTGATAGTGGTGATGAAATACATAGTAACTACAAATCTATGGAGCTATCTTTGATTCTGCTCCAGCTCTGGTCAGATATAACAAACATGGTTATCCAAAATCTTCTTAATCATTTTTTGATAAGGAAAGTTGAACTGACTGGAGCGCAAACAAGCACAGCGAGCCCCGTTTGATCTGATCTCTAACTCTCTCACACACACATACACTCATTCTCATTGTTTGTTCAGACAGACATAGTGTGCAAACACACAGACATAGTGTGCAAACACACACACACACACACACACACACACACACACACATCTCATTTTCACTCTCAGTAAGAGATTATTGTCTCATGTGTCCCCTGTGTATAAACATCCATTTGGTCATCTGGCTCGAGTATAAGAAAGCCAGTGTAATGCCGGAAAATGTAGCTGAAACAATTTGTAGATTATTGATCAGTTGATTGAGTAAAATATTTGATGGTTCCAGCTTGTCAACTGAAGATTTGCTGCTTTTCTTTGTCTGATGTGATAAGAAACTAAAAATCATTTCCCAACCCAAATTTACACAAAAAAAAAAAACTACTGACATGAATACATTAAGTTTGAAAAACAGACACAATCCAAAATAGATTTATAGTCAGAGGATGTGTAAAATAAACCAAAGAACTATTAGAGCCACTCCAAAATATGGTCGACCTGAGTAGGCCCAAACAGAGAGACAAAATTAACACTGGCAGCAGCACAATACAACGAAAAATAACAAGCAGCAGTAACAGCATTTGAAACCCCCTTCCCCCAACACCTCTCTGACCAAAATACCTCGGGGTGCCTTGTCCGACATTTTGTGTTACTTTCTAAAAGCGACAATCCGACATTCACGCCCACCTCAGATGTCCAGGTGTACGAAGATGAGAAAGTAAACAGTAACAAACAAGTAAACTTCTCTCTCAAATGCTCTTCGTATGTACAGACCTACCTCTGTCCGTTCATGTTTCGTCAACTGAGTGCAACACTATGAATGCCTCCCAGGAAAGGCGCCTTTGAGTGTAGCCATGTGGCAGCTAACACCTACAACCACTTTTGCTTTCCGATGATGTAAAATGACACATCATACAAACTAGTTTGTTTCGCCTTGAAACTTCTTGTAAAACCCACTACAACAGAATTAGATTTTACCCTATCGGATTAGACTGAATTTTGACCCATCCCAGTTCAAGACCCAGATCAAGTCTTGTGAAGAACCTGTGAACACTTCCAGTACTGACTTTTGTCCCCTAAGAGTTCTTGTCTGCTTCATCTTGTGCTGTACACCAGTTGTGTTTTGTCTTTAGTTGCTTGTTCTTCTTCCTGTCACATGTGGTGTTGTTCTAAGTATAAATAACAGTTCATAGTAATTTCAAAGCATATTTATTTAAATTACAAAATACATTTTCACACATTATTGTGCCAGTTTATTCATTTTTGAATGTCGCCATTATTAATAAAAAAACTTTTAAATGCAGCGGATGTTGGCTGAAAAAAACACGTTTCTGCTTGAAGTCATGTTCTGTCTCTTTTCAGATGTTCTAATACTAATCAATATTCACTTCAAACATCCGACATCAAGTCCAACATATATTCAGCCAATAATTTAGCAAGTGGATGTTTGTGTTACAGCAAGTGATTTGGTTGATAAATGCACAAACACACAACAGCTGAGCAAATAGATACATATTTATGTGCAACACAGAAGGGTTAGTTGAAGCAGTAAACATATTAGTGCTGTTAAATAGTTACCAAGAGCAGCAAAGCTATGTTTAGCAAGAATGTAATTACAGAAAATTGTATATTGTGAACTTTCACCTAAATACACAAACATTTTAAGTTGAATGCTAAAGCTGATGTTATTTTGTCTTTTTGTTATTACCAACACATTCCAAAACAACAATGTGAATTTCTGCCACGGATAAGTATCACACATGTAGCCACAGCCTCATAACTCATACCTCTGTGTTATAGAACTCATTTTTCCTACAAATACCATTAAAGACAGACTAAATAGCCGCACAGACGCATTGGGCGACATTTCTTTATCACAATGAACAGCCAGTGTAGTTACTGTCTTTATTTCCACAATGTGCAGGCTGTGCGGTGCAGGCTCAGGGATGCAGTTCCTTGTTTATGCTGTTTAATGTTCATTGTAATGAAGGAATATGTCACCCAGCACAACAGTATTGCTTTTTTAATGTGTTTTTAATAGTTTTTGGATAACAGTGGCTAATTATGTAAGATCTAGCTGCGCTATGGCTGCTAATGGAGCATTTATCCAACAACTACAATAAACACATATAGCTGTGATTTCACATTTTATATCCACTTATGATCAAATGGCAGTGGAATTGTCGTCAAATGACAAATGAGGAATGCCCCTCTACATGTATTTTGTGTACTTTTGGTCTAGGGCACTTTTACGAGGTTTAGTCTAGACCTTTTGCGGGCATTTAGACCAAACACAACCCTGCGTTAAAACAACACTAGGGGCTGCGTTGTTGGGGGGCATGTTGCTTAAGGCACAAGTGAGACAATAAAATACAGTCCTGGAAGTTCAGTTTGAGGTACAGATTAATGTGTCTAAAGGCTTCTCAGACACCTAAACCCTGCACAGCAGTTTGTAAATACTCGATACAATGATGGAAAGTTGTCAGTGGTGGCAACTATATTATCTTTAGTAGTACAAATGTGGCATTCGTGTTACAAAGTAATCCACCAGGAATGTGCACTTGTATGTATGTGATGAACGCAATAAATTGAAATTAAGGAAAATCTTCATGCTGCTGCATAAAAAGATACTTTGGAATATAATGTGCTTGCAGATATGTGGCAACAGTTTGGGGAAGGCCCTTTCCTGTTTTAGCAGCACAAAGCCACATCCATAAAGAAATGACTTGTTTAATCATAGTGTGATTTAATCTGATTTTGTCTACATTGTGATCCGAATTTAGCCTAAAATCTTGTTGAGGGGGAAGTGCTTAACTTTAGCCTAACATGATCTTATCTGGCCTTTTTGATTGGATGTAACCTGTCTATGTGGCCAAAAGTATGTGGACAACCCTGTCCTTACCTCAGCCACATCCCACACCTTTGGGATAAACACTGACTGTGAGCCAGGCCTTATCACCCAACAGCACTGGGCCACCTCACTAATGTTCTTGTGGCTAAACAAATCCCTGCAGTCAGGATCTAGAAGATGGAAAGAGAGGAAGCTGTTAGAGCTACAGGTTAATGTCCACAGTTTGGACGAAGGTGTTACACAATGAAATATTTAGCCATACACTATATAATACCTTGGGAAAATGTTGTGCTGCAGTTTCCTTTTTGTGTGTAAATGATGTGAATCCAGTCAAAATATGTATTTCCTATATACACAAAAGGTATAGCTTCTTAATGGTACAATGGACACACTAAAAATGGTAAGTTAGAGAGATGGACAGTGTAGGATGAGACATAAAGGACATAAAACCTGTCTGCCACATGCCAGTACAAGACCTTCATTACACAGGACATGATACTAAATATTACAGGACAGAACGGCCACTGCACAGCATAGGACAAAAAAGGATTAACTTCCCCACACACACATATGAACACAGAGTCAGCGATGTGTCATTATTATTCACAAACATAGTTTCTCTCTCTCTGACACACACATCCTCAAAAACACGATACAAATTTATGCATATACACTTCCTATTTCTGACACACTCAGACATGGACTCTGATTATCTCTCTCAAGCAGCTAATGTTCTTTTTTTACATTTTTTCCTTTTACAAACACACACACACACACACTTACTGTACTTTTTCACAGTGATGTTCTTTCAAAGCCACAGCAACCACACACAGCTAAATAAAGCATGTTTGATCCCTTCATCTATTCTTTAATGTGAATGCATCCAAGCTGTCGCCATATCAGCCACTGCAGATGTTTGACTGATGAACGTATCATAGTAGTGGGATACTGGTGTGTGTGTGTGTGTGTGTGTGTGTGTGTGTGTGTGTGTGTGTGTGTGTGTGTGTGTGTGTGGTATGTTCATTTGCAAGGCTGGCCGTGCTGAAAGGCTCTGATGTCTTGGCTGCAGAGTGCCCCAGGGTGTCGGGGTAGTCGGCTGACAGTGGAAAGCCTTGACTGAATGTCCCGGAGCACACCACTGAATGACATGGAGAGAGAACTCTTATCGATTTCTACAAAGACAGCTCTCTCTTCTCCCATAAATATTACGGCTCTTTATGTCCTTGCCTGTGCATGTGTGTGCATACAAGTGCTATGACCGACAGGAAAAAGGTCCTTTCATCTCTGGAGTCAGCACCAAGCCTTCATCCCTACCTGTGTTTAATGTCAAGACAGATGGGGGACAGAATGTCTCTTATGACAAAGACAGTCTTAAAAGCCTGAGGCTTTGAGCCAAAAGCCTGAAATTGATTGCTAAATGGTTGTTTCAAGCAAGAAACTCAGTTTTTAACTCTGTTGAAGTTAAAAACGCATCTGTTGAGTGTAAAATTTTTCTGTGTTGAGTTTTTTCCTGCTCCTCTTTCCCTGAGCAGTTTATCGGAACTAGTCAAAAAGCCAAAGACATTTACATTTTTTTCTTTTTTGCACATCTCTGTTTGTTTATTGACTGAATAAATCAGCTTATTGGGCCTTTCTATTTGTCTCCTTTCCAGAGGATACAGCCTTTGAGGCAGGTGTGCGGGTGCAGATCCACAGCCAGGCGGAGCCCCCGTTTGTTCATGAGCTGGGCTTCGGCGTGGCCCCCGGCTTCCAGACTTTTGTAGCCACACAGGAGCAGAGGGTAGGTGTCCCTGACTTCCGCCGATACACAGTTAATAGCTTTTTTTATCATTTCTCTTCCTTGTGCTGTTTTTCTTTTCTAATCCGCATGTTCAGCTTATCACTCAGAGAAAAAAAAACCTGTGATAAATAAGTTACCATAACAGGCATGGTGGGATTTTTCTCCATGTATTTGTGTGAGTGTGTGTGTGGATGACTTTGTTACTGCATGTGTGTCCCAGCCCCCTCTGGGCCCTCAATTGGCCTCTGTGGTCCCTTAGGGATTGTTGACTGACAAATGATAACTTCTCCCTCTGTCAGTGGCTTTGACCTTGCTGGTAGAGAGGTGCTTCACTCAAACTCTGCCCACTCAATCATACTGAAGCATTGTTCCATCACACAAGGCCAATATTAAATGCTGCAGGCCTCATAGATATATACAGTCATAACAGATATTTGATGCAAATAGCCTTTTCTCTGTCCCCAGAGGCTCCCACTTCACAAGGCTGTTTTTCCACTTCTTCTCTTTTTCATTATTTTGGTTTAAGTTGAACAAACCACTGAGGGTGTTTCCACAGTCCCAAGCTGAATGTCTTTTTATTGTGACTCCTTTTCTGTTGTGTCAGTTTTACTAAAGGTTATTAGTTCTGTCTCTCTTTGTCACTTTTCATCTCTATATTTCTTTGTTTTTCTTTCTGTCTACCTCTTTCTGTTTTCCTGCCTCTAAGCCAAGCTTTTGAAAATGCATTGTCTGTCTGAGCAGTGGGAGTTGACCGGATTGCTCTTTTCTGGGAAGACAGATTTCTGTCAAGATAAATTCATTGCCGTCTCATCTTTAAAATGGCCTCTGTTTCTGGAATATCAATGATATTTGTTTTCCTTTGGTAACCAATGGCTGTCAGTCAGTGTTTACATGCACTTCAACCTGCAGTAACTCATTTTTTTGACACTTGCAACAGAAGCAAGCTTAGAGCGCAGCACTGGCATTTTATCACATTTTAAGTTGATTTATGTGAATTTGTCAGCAAACACTCGTCCAGCAGATACAGAGCAATGAGTTGTGTTTCTGATCACCTGGCAAATATAAGTCTACTAAATAATACCTGGCTTTTAAGAACCTAGATGCTCCACCAGCTAGTTGCTAACTGTGTTTGTCTGCCATTTGGTGCTGGGAAGGTAGAGCACAGTCTGTTTTTTAGAGCTTTTAGTTGATTCTGGTAAAACCATAACAGCCGAGTTTTGGGACATGAAGCAAAAATAATGGGCATGTGATCTCAGGTCCAACTGTAATTTGCTTTTTCTGTCTGTAAATCTCAATATAAACAAAAAACACATTCCCACTTTCCTGCTGCTAAAGTTTCTTCCTTATCTAACCTACAAACATGAAATTGGCTTTTTATAAGTAGGATATGCATGCATATAACAAAGACTGCAGACCATGCTTCAGAAAGGGAGAATGTCACCATGACAGCAGGAGCTTTGGATGAAAGAACAGATCAGTACACATAAAGATGCACCCTCGTATTGAAATAATTCAATCTGAATTAGTTCAGTCAGACTAAAATTGAAACTACATAAATTAGCCTGTTGGAGTTTAAGTTTTAAGTCTATTTGTAAAAATAAAGACACATGTTGTGCTTGTTTGTCATTGCTAATATAGGTAAAATAAATAAAAAGCATGGCTTACAGATGAGATTCCCTGGTTTCTCTAGGTAATGGTGCATGCAAATGTACTGACACAGAGCGACTGAAATAGCAAATAAAAAAGGAGTTTGATTTGAATTTTAGGAAGTTTTTTTCAGCAAAATTCAGTTGAAACCTCATCTCACTATATCACAGCTCCGTGTGGTGCTTCAACACAGAGAGTCACCTCAGCGTTTGGCAGGAAAGAGAAGAGGAGATCTATCCAGAGATGGTTAGGCCTCCTGGGTAATGAGCCTCCAGGGTTTCTGTCTCTGCTTATCTGTCAGCTCTGTTCTGTGACTGGCAGGGTGAAGACAGGCCCTCATCTGCCTGCCTGCTGCGAAAACACTACCCCTCTCCGCAAGCTCACACAGTGGGAGACGCTGCAAATTTAGCTCCAGCTAATTAATGCAGAACTGCACTTTGTACCAGAAGTCTGGGAAAAACCCTCCTACTGTGAGAAGCTCCCACCTGTCTCTTCAAGCTTCTTCCTCTTCTGTGGAAACCCAGAGGGCACTTTCAAATATGTCCAAAAACAATCAGGATAATGATGACTGGGTAGAGTATCTAGGGCGAAGATTTGGGATGGGGCCTTGTGGAGTGTGTAAAAAAAAAAACCTGGTGATTAGTGGATCTTTATAATGGATACCATATCATATCAGTCTGCCTGTGAAAATGACTTTGACAAAGAGTTTAAATGAACTCATTTTGGCTAATAATATTGGGCCCAGATCAAAGCGGCTTAATCAAGTGAGCTAAAGGCACAAAGTACACAGCCTATGGTAAAGGCTGAATCAGTCCTCACACATAGGCAGGCAATTTTAAATTTAAGCTCTCCAGACATTGAAATTGCCCTTCTGTGGGCTTTTGACTGAAGCTAAAGGGGCATGGTGTTCCCTGAGCTGAGAGAGTCATTCTTCCCAAGGATTAAAAAAAAAGTCTTCATTATACCGTCATTCCGTTGCTGCATCTTGATTCAAGCTCAGAGTCTTTGAGTTTAGCTCAGTGGGGCTCGGGTGCACTGATGTGATGTTGAGGCTCAGCTCCAGCCTTGACTCCAAAATCTCCATTTCACCCAACCAGTGTTAATACCGTGACCTTATTAAATGCACCCTGTTCCCAAATCCAACTTTTTTTTGACAGTGTCCTTTGCTGACCAAATTATAAAGCTTATCCTTGCTTCAGTATAACAGGGAAATGGAACGCTGATTAATAACATACTGAGTGGGGCGCAGGTCTCTGCTCTTATTAGACTGACATAATCAGGTCAGCAGGTCTCAACATAGTGAAAAGTGATGTTGAGCACCTCAATCTGATTACAGAGAAATAATCAGATCTCGCATTGGCCACAGTTGACTTTAATTAGACCAGAGATGAAGATTAGCTGAGATTGTGAAGGTGATTTTAAAGGTTGAGGATTGCAGAGAAGCACCTTTCATAAGTTCCTAATTAATTTAATAGCGTCAGGTGTCAGTGTTCATTGCTCGCACTTGTGCTGGCATCAGGGATGGCATGCTTAATTGTGACAGGAGACATTATAGCCAAAATGGCCTGAGGTCTTTGGATGCAGAAATGTTCAGCACACTAGATTTCTGTTTGGATTGTGTTTGAACTTATTGTTTGAAGTGTTGGTGAAGTGACTGTACAGACCTTGAGCATCGAACACCCTCGAAGCAGAGAAACAACAATGAGCTGATAGGAGGGGCAGGGCTTCAAACGTTGTCAGTACTAACAAGCAAACTGTGGCCAAATTTCACCTGGCAGGATGTTCTGTTTTGCTTCATCCAAAAAGAAATGCTCTTTTGGCAGCAAAGCAGCCTCACTTGGGATGCACTGTGATGACGGTGAAGGGATCTGGGGACCAGAGGGTGGCATGTGATCGATACTGAGAGCGCGGGTAGAGCGCGCAGCCTGTGTTGTGGAGCAGATGGGCCTCCACGCTGCTCAGCCTGGTATCCCCTGTCTCTCATCTGCTGTTCCAGTCTTCAGAGCTGCAGGAGCAGGAGGTGAACATTTGGAGTTTTTGTGCTCCCATTGCTGGGTGTTATGGGATTTTTCCGACAGAGTCTGGCTATCTGTTGAATTGTTTTCCGCACCGCCTGGTTTGTTGTGAGGCTCTTCCTCTTCTCTGTACTGGCTGAGTGTCAAGGACTTGGGAACATGTTTTGGAAAGCTGCAGTCAGGATCTGTCCACATTTTGAACTTGGTACATGGATTTTGTCTCTATGTGTGTGTGCGTAGTACCTCAGGAGTCTTAAAAAGTATTGAATTCAGTTCTCTCAAAATGAGCCCTTAAAAGGTCTGAAAAAGACAAGACAAAGGTCTTGATTTTGTTTTGTACGGGCTGTGGACAGTACCATTAGTTATAACTTGTTTTGAATATAGTTGCAGGCTGTTGGGATACAAGGTAAACTTGTACAGCAGCAGATTGTGCACGCAGAAGACTATTTAATCTTGCTAGTAACTAATAATGGGCATATGTCAATTTTAGCAAAAACTTTAATTATTTTAAATTGATTATTTTCTAATTGGTTAATGTGTCCATTTTTGGTTGTTCAGGTTAGTTGATTTATTAAACCACTCAGTATTATTGTTACATGGAGCTTGCCATCATTCCTTTGACAGTGAAACAGGTATTAGATTACTTTCTATGTGGTATTAAAAAGGTAGTAAGAAGTCACTGTGGACACTGCAGAAAACTTGGTGTGAATGTGTATGAGAGAAAATATCTTCACTCTTTCTTCCTCAAGGCCCCACTAATCCCTCACCTCCTTTCTGTAACACCTATAGCTGACCTACCTGCCTCCCCCGTGGGGAGAGTGCGAGTCGAAGGCTCTGGAGTCTGGCTTTTTCGAGGCCTACAGTGTAACTGCCTGTAGGATCGACTGTGAAACGCGCTACATTGTGGAGAACTGCAACTGCAGGATGGTGCACATGCCCGGTAAGAATCCCCGCTGGTCCGACTTCAGTGTTTGGTGCTGTATTGACCATGCATTTATCAACAGAAGTTTTCAGCAAGGTTGCAGTATTTTATGTGAGATTAAACAGCATTGAGAGGCCTCACGACAAGTCAATACTGGATTAGGTGTTGGCATTTAAATTAGCCCTGGGATTATGCGTCTGGCAGGAAACTGGTGCTGCGCCTCACATATTGTTTGTTGATTCATCTCACTTTTAACACTTGTTTATAGAGTCTTCCAAGAGTGTTAATGTTTAAACACCGCCACTGACCGGTTTCCTCCTCTAATGTGTTTCATTCAAACTGTCCCTAGGTGATGCTCCGTACTGCACGCCTGAACAGTACAAAGACTGTGCTGAGCCTGCCCTTGGTAAGTCCGCATATACACCCAATCCCATGAGCATGAGTCAAGATGACACATACTTACTGTAGTCTGGTTTACATATCGTTATTTGCCTAAGCAAAGGATTTGCATTTTTTTTTTCCTGTTGATTCAGAGCTTTACTGCTAAATCTGCTTTAAAGATGAGCAACATCGACACCAGAGAGAATTTTAAGCTTGAAAGGGCTCAATTTAAGAGCCCTTTCAAGCTTATTTCAAGTATTTTATCATGAATGCCAAAGCACTGCGGTGAGAAAAAAACTTTACTTTGGTAACAGGTGATAGGCGCTGTCTGTCATTGGACTTCATTTAAAATGCAGCATGTAGGCTCTGCAGGCACACAGCTGGTCAAGTTTCAGTGTATGTGTCACTACTTTACTTTTTGATTCATCAAGAGAATAGGGTTCATCTCAATATTTCCCCTTGTGGGAGTAGACCTCATCAAGTCAGTAACCAACATCAGAGCAGACAGGGACTGCATTGTTAGAGTTCAATTTAATGGGTGGATGGTCAGATAGATAATGGGTCATATTTCCTGCATAGAGGTAAATTATACAGGCTTGACTCATTCCTTCAAATTCAAGATTTTATATCAACTTTGGCAGTTGTATTAAATGTTGGCTTGTCGTACTGTTTTAAGATATAAAACTGATTTTCTTTGTTTTGATTTTTTATGAAACTGCCGTAATACCAGTGCAATATTTACCTTGTGCTGTAGCCAAACACTTGAGAGACTCATGAAAGTCAAATGAGGCAGATTCATTGTGATTTTATCAAGCTTAAATTCCTGGGAAAGTGGTTAAAAGTCAAGAGTTTAGCCTTCCAAAGCAGCAAGATCATAAAGAGGTGTTTTCTCACTATTGAATATTTCAATATCATGTTGAGGGGCATAAGGAAGGCTGGAGCTTATCCCAGTATGCATTGGGTGTTAGTGACACATAAAAAGGGTTGGTTCACAAAAAGCATTTAAAAATTTGATGTTAAAAAATCTTTCTATAGAAATGCCAAAGACTGTTTACAGTGTCTAATAAGGATATGAATGTCTAGAGTAACAAGAACAAGAAATGTCCAAATTATATTCAGTCTCATCAGCTTGGGTTTGCTCTATTACACGTGTCAAGTGGATTTACTGTGAGCTCGGATTACAGGGTGTGTCATAATAACTGCAGGAGGAAAATCTGTTTTATGAAGGGTGTAAACATTTTGGATCAGATTAAAGTTGGATTTATACGTCTGCGTAAAGGGGGTACATCATGGTATGGCAGCTATGTGATTTATCTCCAAGATTACCCTGTAGATTAGGGCATCGCTCACGTGCACCTCCTCCGAAATTGAACAACACATCGGTGTCACAGAGAAAAACAGCGAGAGTCTTTTATTCAAAAATGAGACGAGGTTACTATGAGCATGTGTTCAACCCACTGTCGCTCTGAATCACAAAATAAATGAAAGATTGTAAACACAGTTGCTGTGAGGAATATAATTAAAGCACAATAGAATGCATCCATCGCGTGTCATGGTGGAAATCCAGCGCTCAACTGTAAATCAAATTCCTCTTGCATTGACCATAGACTGTATATAAATTTGACTCTCTTAATAATCTCTTAAATTTACCTCTCTTAAGCATCGACTAGAAATCCAACTGTAATGATCCTCAGATATTTTCAGACTGGGTCTATTTCCTTTCAGGTGGGTTCTCTCTTTGAGAATTCATTTTGCGCATCAGGTCTGGGAAGGTTTTTCACAGATCAAAACAGGCTCACATGAACAACAAAATAAATTTCATCCACTTTCATTGTATTGCATTGGAGGCACAACTATAAAAAATGAACATCTCAAAGTCTTGGCAAATAAAACCACAACCGTCTGATAGATTAAGTGAGGTAAGTGAGAAAATAGGTTTTTTGCTCTGGGTGCACCAACCCTTTAAGAGTTATACCCATTTAGCAACCTAAGTGGTAGCAGCGGTAGAGTTTTGTAACTAAAGAGCACTGCATAAAATGAATTTATTTTATAGTAATTCAAAAATTATAGTCAATACTGTGAATAAGTAAACCCACTGTTAACAATACTGAATGTAATATAATCAGCATTTTTGAGAAATAAAAGCCCAAAGTCAATAAAAACATAAATAATACAGAAATAACAAGTTGATTTAAAAGCATACTAAGTAATGTATGACCTTTATCAACCTCAGCTGTTGGCCAGTGGGAATTACAGTTCAGTAAAACTTTCTCTCCTCCCACACCAGTCTCTCTGGTCAGCCCCCCTCCTCCCCCACCCTGAGGAAAATTATTTCTTGAAAGCCAGAAAGGTACAAAAACATGTAGCCAAGGGCAACAAAACTTTCACGCAATCAGCATCAAGGATGCACACTTCCACACAATAAGAGCATTCAGTATAGCTCACCAATGTGTCATTAACATGCACTTGAAACCACAAGTTGCCCTGTATGATGCATGAGCAGTGTGGAAAGCTTTGGTGCTTATTTCAGACAGCTTGTTACCTCTCTCTTTCCTGTAATTGGCTTCATTTCTGGAACAGTAAGGCTTTCACAGTCCCAGCACACACACTCACTCAGCTTGGATCATTGAATGCAAATGAATTCTAGTTTTAAATCCAGTGCCAATTTGCTATACCCATCAGAGGAGATTTCACACGGCAAAGTTTGATTGGGTTTTTCTCTCGCTGTAACTGTGTCACTCAAGTTTTGCAGACGGCACTGAAAATATTTCTTAATAGGAGACAGCTGCATCTGCTGACTGAGAACAATTTGCTTATCTAGTCGATTTCTTCTGAGGAAACAAAGATGGTTTATAATTACACATGCAGACAGAAAACACAATCGTTTCGAGTTTCTCTTATAGCTGCTGAGCAAGAGATTCAACCTGCCAAAACTGTATTAAAGAAGCGATTACATTAGTTATCCTTCTGTCAGAAAGATATGTATTTATACTTTATATCACGTAGTATTAAAAACTAGCTATGCATTAACATTTAGAAAATACGAAAGAGGAAGAAATGTATTATGCTAATTTGGTCTTTTAGATTTAAATGTGTGAGAGTGAAAAAGAGTGAGGGAGGTGGACAAAGGTGAGAGGATTAGAGAAAGAAATCAATCATTTGAATGCATGAGTCCTTGCTCCCGTATATCAAATAACATCTCATTTGAATAAAAATAGGAGACCACTGAGAAGCCATATTGAATTTCCTCTTGCAATTACGTGAGTATGTGGCCCTGCCGGCTATTAGTGCACCGTTGGGGATAGCTGCCTCATGCTCTGTGATCTGCAGGTTTGCCACTGAGCTGTCTAAGTGAGAAATAAGTCTGATAACATTAACTTCTCCTTTGCTTTCCATTCTGAGACTATGAGTTTGGCTCCATTGGGAGATTTAAAATGTGAAGAAGATTTTTAAGTCCAAAGAGAGAAGTTTGTTGGTAGTGAGAAAGGACTTGGTAATCTCTGGTGAAATTAAATGAGATCGATTTTAAAGTTTGGAACTTAAAAATTTTAGTTTAAGAAAGTGATTTGTGAGGAGTGTGAGCGGCCTCGATGTCAGAGAAGCTTTTGATGGAGCTATGTTTGACAAGCTTGTGTCCCTTAATATTACCGTCACTGTGAGAGATGTAGGAGACTGTGTAGGAGGCTGTGGGCTTAAAACAAAAACCATCCAGTGTTTTTTTTTTCCTCTGAGTCAAACTGCCAAAGCAGAGCTGTGAATAGAGCATGGCATTTCTGTATCAGGACTGTCTCTGTCAGGGTAAAGGCTGTTTTGCAGATGCTGCTTGGGGCCATGTTTGTATTTGGTGCTTCACATCCTCTCCTCTGCGTCAATGACATTTACTTACACTGTCATTAGAGCTTGTATAGAGTAAACATCTGCATTACTCAAGATTCAGCATGAGTGGGGCTATGTGAGCAATTGTGTGTGTTATTTGCACACCCTTGTTCGTCAGTACAGTGTGTGTGACCTCAGTTTTCAGTCAGAGTAAGAAAAGAGATGCCGGATACATTTTCCTGCATTTCTCAGAAGACATGCAAGTGTAATACTCTAAGCACACAGAGGCTCAGACCTGTACTTTAGATTGAGTGCAATAAGTGTTAGTGTTTAAAAGCAGTGAAAAAGCATTGATGCACATCCTGCACTAACATGCACACAAAAATGTAGCTAATTGTAGTAATTACTCTAGATGTGGTGAGTGCCTTGAACCATTGTCACAATTTAACATAATGTTTTAGCTTTGTTGAGAAAAATAAAGGAAAAAGGGCAGAAGAACATTATAAAAAATGTAATTAGAATTTTTGAACTCTGAATGGTCATTTAGTTCGTAAAATGTCAGAAAATAATGTAAAATCTCAGATGCACTTTCCAGGTCAAAGTCACCTCTTTAAATGTTTTTTTTCCGACCAGCAGTCCAAAAACCAATAAATATATGATGATATAAAACAGAGAAAAACAGCAAATCCTCACATGAGAGGCCAAAACCAGCAACTCGTCAGCAGTTTTGCTTCATAAATTACTTAAAAAACAATTTGTTATCAAAATTGTAGTTGATTAATTCTTTGTAAGTCGACTAATTGATTAATTACGTTTTCATTTTTAGACAGATTTAAAGTGTCTAGAGGCTTATAGTGACTTTGCAATGACCTTCACATATTTTGAATTCTTTGATTTAATTTTTGACAGCACTGTAAAATTTTTAAATATATAAAGATATCAAAGTAATGCATATTTGTCAGTTAGTTCAATACCTGCTGACCTTATCATATTTGATCTTTTTCATATCTTATGCTTCAAACATCAAACAATCCACGTATTAATCTAATACGTGGATTGTTTGATTTGCTCAGGTGATTCTCCTCCTGCCCTTTTTATTGCATTACTGCATTACTGCAGCAGGTTCTCCAAATAAAAGGGAAGACTGACTTATCACAGGGCTGAAGGCCTTAGTCAAACACATTTTCAGCCAAATATTCATAACCACATCAGGAACTTCACACCCAAGTAAGTGCAAAATACTTAGGACTCACACTTATAACAGGATATTTTGTTAGTGACTTTGTGAGACTCAGAAAAAAAACACTATGTGGGTAGTTATGAGCCAGTTTGGCTCATTTATTTACTGCCTTTTAACTGGGTGTCTCAAAAAAAGTCTCACTTTTTATCTAAAAGAGCATTTCTCCCTTGTGTACATCATCCTCAACCCATCCTCCCACGCGTCGTTCCATTTTCCCCCCCAATTTTACGCTCCTCTCCTCTCCATCACCCATTCCTGTGTGAAGCTAAACTGTCGGCTGTGGAGAGCAGTAACTGCATGTGCAGGACACCGTGCAACATGACCCGCTACAACAAAGAGCTGTCTATGGTCAAAATCCCCAGCAAAACCTCGGCCCGCTACCTGCAGAAGAAGTTCAACAAGACGGAGAAGTACATCACGTAAGTAGCTGGCTTTCCTCGTCTCCTTGTCGTTATGTTGACTGCACCAGCAGGTGGTGCAAGACACTGAATGTACCCACTGTATTTAGTTACAGTAACTGTATTTAAATCTTGAACAGGCAGATGATGCTCTGGTGCTGCTTGCATGGTTAAAATTATAAATAAAATGGCCTATGTGCTACTTTTGTGACATAAAATAAAAACAACTTCATAAATAAATGAATAAATTGACTTTATACATTATTTTTTCCTAAATGTTCGTAGGTAGAATGACCATTTGCTACCACACATACACTGATAGCAAAAACTCTCATTTTGCTTTAAGTTCTCATTTTGTTCTTGGCCAAAAAATACCCACAAGTGATGATGGTAAAACACCAGAATACTCAGTTTGTGCAAAACAGTACACCTGGAATGCTTGATCAATTTAAGAACAGTCCTAGTTCACAATGAGACTCTGTGCAGGTGAGTAAAAGCAAATCAGTGGCCTGCACACATTTCATGAATCAGAATAGCATTTCTTATTTTTTCTTATTTCATTTTTAGAATGAAACTTTAGAAGAAAAAAGAGATTTGAGAGATAAAACATGTGAACGAACCCAGTGAAAGAAGCTGACCACTCTTCAGACTTTTTTTCTTACCATATTCATTCATTGTCAATACACCAAGGCAGCAAGCCATCAGCCTTATCATTTTCAGCATCCCACAATTTAGAGTTTCCAGTCTACCTGATGAGCACAGGAAACACACTGTGAAAGGGAAAAACATGACACAGTGAGGACTGCTGTAGCTCAGAGCCTCCTCTCTGCCAGACAACAGCACAAACCACTGAGCCTCTTAAATGCCCACATTGTTTTCTATAGTCGATTAAATGATGGTTTAAAAGAGCTGGTTGGCTGTGAAAAGCTGAGCTGTTGCAACAAGTGTGTTCTCCTCCCACACAGTGGTCGAGCTTCCCTGGTTTCTCCGCTCTGTAGGAAATGGATGGACTGATTGTGCTGATTGTGTAGCTTGACTGCCCAATGTGGGATTCATTAATACAAATGCCCAATTTTGCCTTTTGCAGAGACAACATCTTGGTGTTGGACGTGTTCTTTGAGGCATTGAACTACGAAACCATTGAACAGAAGAAAGCCTATGAGGTTGCAGGCTTGCTGGGTAGGTTTTACTCATTGTTATCCTTCATTTTCCAAACCTGGATTCAGTCGATGTCAGATACAGCCATTTCAGTTTCTTAACCTACTGATTATGCCATTACAGTGTGTGATAAGCCTTCGACAAAATGTTGACGCTAATGAAATGGACTGATTTTACTGGCAACAAGCTCAATTTGACACTTCTTTATAGATTACAGCATAAATAAAAGTAAAGTGCAGGAATTAGCCTCTACACAAGCTTTAACTAAATATAAAGAGATATTTCATTTGCTTGTTTTCATTTTTGAGTGTGATGCTGTCACTTGTTTTAATATTGACCGATTCATTGAGACAAGCAGTGATGTCCTCATGCCCACAAGCAGCAGCAGTTTTTAAATTTTCTGGGAGCGACATTGATGTGCTAAAATTGCCAACATTGCTAAATGAAAATTGCCAAATGTGATTCATGGGTACTGTAATTGTTAAGCTGTATGTATGTAATAATAAGCAATAATGCAAATCGGGTGTGTGATTTCTGCCTGACCTGAACCAAGTAAACTCAGCAAAGTGCAGAGAGTTTTGAATCAGGTTCAGGTGGATTTGTATTAGCTCGGTGGGAAAAAATGCAAACTCCTCATTCATTTGAATAGGGTCTCTCTGCTAATGGGGATGGGGGAGTGGAAATGTTGATCCAGTAAAAAAAAAAATTGAATCCAGAAAAGCTCTGCACTGGCAAATCAAACACGTGCATACCACAGACTCCTGGTGGATTATTTTGTGAAGTGAAAACTGTATTTTTTATACAACAAAAGATGGATTATTTTCAGCACGATGACTTATAAACATGACACTTGTTCCCTCGTTTCACTATATTATAAACTACTGTGTTGCGTTTCATCTGATGCTCTTTTCAAAGTTATGGATCTATTACTGCATTACATGGCAGCTTACCACAGGCAAACTAGGAAGTGATAGGGATAGTCATCAATTGTCATTTTTTTGTCATTCATTGTCATTCATTTACCTGCAGTTTACTACTGAATGTAGCACACTGACCCTGAATGCTGGTTAGATAGTAGACCGTAATTATGTTTGAGATGTACTGCCATTTAAATTGAACAGATTCCTTCCCACTGATCAGAATCAAGTATTTTCCTTGACGTTGGTAAAAATATATTTTTCTTAGTTTTCTCTTTCTACTTCTCTTTGTGTGACTCTGGCTGTGGCCTTCTACAGGTGATATTGGGGGTCAGATGGGTCTGTTCATTGGAGCCAGCATCCTCACCATCCTCGAGCTGTTTGACTATGCTTATGAGGTCAGTCTCAAGTTGCTGTTGCAGCAGCTAATTACTCCCACTCATCACTCCTCTGCAGGCTCTCACTGTTTTTTTTAGTGCAATAAACTTTAACAGCTCTTGTTTCTGGTATTTCAGTGTTAACTCAAGAGTTAGAGCATTGACAATGAAAACTGGCAACAGAAATAATGTCACAGATACAAAAGGCAGATAAAGAGTTAGATTTACTGCAGAACAGACTGAGATGAAGGACTGTGTGATGGTACTTTTCCACTACTGTGTGCCCCTCTTCAGAGCTTCTAATGCTGCTTTCAGCTGCACAGGATTCTGACAAGCACATAATAGTGTTTGCCCCCCACCCCTCCGGGGTGTTAGAAATACACAGGAAAAGTAATTTTCATTAGATTCTTTTTTCCATTTTAATGGCAAATAGTGAAGTAATGGGGATAAGAAAACCTAGTGTTGCTTATATAAGCAATTCTACAGGAACTTTTAAGAGCTTTCATGCTGAAATAATTATGATGGTGTAGTTTGTTGCCACATTTTCCACCTAATTACTTATTACTTTGAAGTCAAATGCTCCTGCACAGCCAGTAATTACAAGAGTTCATGGATTTCTTCTATAACGGACTGAAAGAAGTTTCTGACATTTCCTGATCCACAGGTGGTTAAAGACAGACTACTGGATTTACTGAGCAGAGAGGAGGAGGAGGAGAGTCATGGAGAGGATGTGGTAAGATCAGCCTTTAACCTTTGATTTGTCAATCTTCTTCATAGAGTGCTCTGTGTAAGTGGAGTGTGTAGGTTCAGTGTAATTTCACTCACTCTGATCATGCATATCAAACCTTGTCCCATCCCTACCCCCTCCACACAAGTATGTGGAACAAGCACCCTAGAAAAATTTAAGAGCAACAGCAGCCAATAGCCAAGCTCTGGTCTTTGAGGGCTTTCAATGAATCTGAGCAGCACATGAACATGTGAACATCACATCTTAGTTAAATCAGCAAAACCAAAAACTAGGGGTCTAAGGAAGTGGCTGGGATGGTGCAGGGCACTGCAGCAGCAAACTGCATTTGCATGACAGCATCTGCAGAATAGTCAATGATATGTGCCAGGTTGTAAAGGTCACTGCTTACACCTTACGTATATTATGGACATCGCTAATCAGCTGGTAGCGAAGCAGCATCAGATGAATGAGCCACTGATGATGAAGCATGAATGAAGCTGTTGCACTCGCATGAGGGGCAGAGTCATGCAACATGCAACAAACATGCAGGAAGCTGCTATACCATATTAGCTGTGTCAGACCTGAGTTTGGCCTGAATATAAACTGCTCCATCAAAGTCAAGGTTTGCAAAAGTCAGTGGTGAGAATTCATCCCTTGAATAAACTGTGCTAACTTATTATCCATAACAACTTGTATTGTGGTTTGGTAGTGCTAGCATGTTGGAAAAGGAGAGGCTGTCTGCACACCGAAATTTCCAAGCTCCTAAGTTTTTATTCGTGCAACATTTCGAGCTGCAAGCGATGATTCACATTATCATTAATTATGAGCTTAACCTGACAAAGACCTTGCAGGTGGAAATGTGGCGCTGATAAAAACGTGGCAGCTTTTTAAACTTTCTATGTGGAAGGCTTCTCCTTTCCCTTGTAGATGTTCTTTGTCCTGCACACTATTCACCTGTTTTGTTTAGTGCTACTTAGCATGTTAGTGGCTAGCTTGCCAGCCAAAGCAGTCACCACAAATAAGAGTACTTAGATGTGGCAAGCACTAAAACTCTTTCAACCTTTTTTCCCAGAGTTCCTGTGACCCGGTGGCAAACCATTCAGAGTCGATCAGCCACACTGTGACGGTCCCCCTGCAGACAACGCTGGGCACCCTGGAGGAGATTGCCTGCTGAGGCCCTCCCCCTTACCCTCAGAGCCACACAAATCCAGAGGCTGCCTCCTCCACTGGGTGGCGCTACATCCTCCTTGAGGGGCACCATGCAGGAACTTAACAGGGGTGGGGAGGACACCAGGACAAGAACAGGGCTTGGTCTAAGGACGGCGCTGTGCTCTGTCACACCACCCTGTCTGAGGCACTAATGGGGATAAAGGAGCTGTCGGCTGGACTTATCGGCCCTCTCTGTCACCCTGCATTGTACTGTAGTGGGAGGGCGGCCTCCACTGTGCCAGACCTGCAGTGGGGTCTGAGTCTCCACATACACGCAGACAGAAAATCTGACTCAGTGATGGAACTACCCAAAAAGGGGGCTGATCCCTGTGCAGCATATCCATGTAACAAACACATTCATATGTCGCTCACTGCCAAATGAACTGTACAAAATTGGTTTTGAACTGTCCAAACTGCATGCGTCGATCTATCTTGCTCTCTTTGCTGATGCATACGCTGGACTGCAGTGTTGCTTTACTGTACATGTGTGCCATTTGTCTCTCTGTCTGCAGGACAGGCCTGTAACAAGGGCCCAGGTGAGATATCGAACTTCGAATGTACAGATTGAACATATGGTTGTTTAAGATCATAGTTCAGATATGACCAATCCATCTTTGAAAATCTATTCTAATGAACAGTTTATCATTTTTTAGTTAATTATCTTGGGATAGAAGGAGTTGGTGAAGTATGAGCATTACTGAGGAAAAAAAATACCTAAACATTTTACTTTGTTTATTGAAAAAACAGAGTGAAATCTGAAAATTTTGCAGCTTGCATTTTGCATATTTTTTCACCTGTCGGTTTCAGTTTAATCAGTTTACTAAAGGCATGTTTGCTACGTGACTCCCAGGGTGCTAAGCTGTTCTCTGCAGACATCTTTAAAGGGATGTCATACTCTTACTGTTAATTTATGTGAGTAACTGACTGGCATCTGGCTGCTGCACCTCACCACAGCACCCAGCTAAGTCAGGGAAGATTCTGAATTTATTTGCCTGCCAGACAACAAGTCTTGTACAAAAAATCTGTGGTGAATGAATATACCCATGGTGTTGTTAACCCATTATTTCATTAAGATAATTTCAGGGTGATAGTTTGGACAGATATTATCATTTTATCAAGGATGGCCTTATGTTGTCCTGCACCAACAAAACATCCCCAGGCTTGACAATTTTAAACAATTTTCATTATAAAAATGACTACAAAAGCACCATGAGGAGGGTTCAGCCAGGATACATTTTTTATTTGTTTTATTTTAGGATACAGGGTCTGCTGTGTTATGGTGTAAATATCAGTGTTTTTTCTCATAAAAACGGGTACCACGCAGACATGCCTGAAGCAAATCTAATTTAAAAGAACTTTGGTGAAACATCAACTCCTGGTCCAGACGTGACTACATATCTGTCACATTTCTTCATAATGTTACTCAATCTATAGGTGAGAATGTTATCTAGCAGGCAGTAGCGTTTTGGGGTAGTTGAATGTCTTGCTAAAAATGAACGACACACTTTGCTAAGAGCACCACCTTTTCAGTGCAGGTTTAGCTGAACCTTCAGTGTCCTCAGAAACAACAGTTACATATATATGGCTTTACACCAAAAGCTTGTGTGAGACCATTTGGATGATATAGTGTTATCAGAGTTTTCTATTTCTAGTCCATGATCATCCTAGCATGGTCTCTGTCATCATGGTAATGTACGTTACAGGTAGGAATGAATTCAAGTGATTTGTCAGACTGTTTGAATTATGATTTCCCATCTGTGGCTCAACCTGCTGTCTCTGTGTACTATCTCATGTTGTGGCTTCAGACAAACACAATCCTCAGCCAACCTGCAGGGATGTGAGACAAACGTGTCTCACGTCTCTTAGCGGCAGCAACACTGGCTGATTCTTCTCTCTACTTTGGCTTCAATTGTTATAGCAGAACAGCATTTTCTCATTTTGTGATGCAGCATACAGTGTGTGTTTTTAATGTGAAACAATTAAATGAAAAAGTTGTTTTGCAGCGGTGGCGTCCTGTTGTGGCAAGGCTAAGCAAGGCAGGTTGACTTGTTAAGCACATTTCAACAAGACGGCAATTCAAAGTGCGTGCATGTTAGACATGATATTAAAAAAAAAAAACACACAAGGTGATATACAAAAAGGCAATTGAGCAGGAGTGAGTCTACAGCTAAAAGCAGCCATGTTTTGAGCTAAGTGCTAACACTGCCATGCTAACATTCTCACAATGACTATGTTGATGTTTAGTAGGTATAATATTTACCATGTTCACATGTTCACTTAGTTTAGCATGTAAGCATGCTAACATTTGCTAACTGGCACTAAAACGCAGTGAAGCTGAGGCTGATGGGTATATCATTACTGTTACAGGTATTTTATCACAAACCAAAGTATTGAAATTTTAACTTAGTGGTGGTGCTTGATGAATAGTTAAGGGATCACCGAAGTCATTAAAATGACCCCTTTTACATATAAGAAGTTATATGATCTATTGATCTGATATGATCTAATATAAAATTATTGATTGTAGCTGCTTTCAATTTTAGATCCATGACTACTAGAAGATTGCTTTGGTTTGTGGCCTGAACATAATCCATTCAAGGTCAGAACTGATTTGTGTAAATCTTACCAAAGTCAAAATATTTTGATGTTTTCTATAAAATGAATTCGTGGTAGTGTGCTGATGCAGTATGGCCGTGGGCTTGCAGTCATCCTCAGTTGACGTGTAGTGACCTCTGAACTGACTCTAGGACATTGTCAACATTTATAAGTTGGAGCTGGAAAGAGTGCAGAGAATGAGTTGCCAGAAAGTGCCTGACAACTCCTGCAGAAAGAACAAGAGAATGGCAAGCCATTCCGCATCAAATGTACAGTAGCTTGGCAAGGTGCAATTTCCCTCTGACATCCGTGCAACATGCTCTTAATATCGGCTGAAGTGTTCCCCTAGTCAGCCTCAAGTGATTACAGCAGCTTGGACAATAGAGGAGCCATGCCACAGCAGCGGAAAAATCTGCTTGAAACCTGATTTAGTGTGCTAGTCAGGTTTTATTAAGCATTGCTACTTATAAGAAAATCCAGCAGTGGTAGCATTTAGTGGTAGAACTCAAAGTGCTATGTCTGCCCTGTCTCTGGCTCCACAATTGTTTCATTAATTCAGTTTAATAATGCTTTCTCTTCCAGCTCAGACATTCTCAATTCATATTACTTGTGAATGAAAGAATGCTCTAAAGGAAACGGATGATATTCAACTTGAGGATTTCCTTAAAAGTAGAAACAAGAATGACTGTAGTAATGGATGCACTATGGGCTGAGTGTGGATTATCCTCATAGGGACTTTCAATTTAGTGTAACTTCAGAGCATTTCAGCATTTTTTTAAGTTTACTGTTGTGTAAAGGGAGCCCTGGATTTGGTTTACTTGTATTAATATTCTACTCATTGCCAGAGACTCTTATCTGAGAGCTGCTGCAGGCTGGGGTTCAACGTCAGTTCAGTTTCAGTTCATTTAACAGATATTTAGGTATTGGAAATTGCCTGCAGGTCAGCCATAGTGCATCAGCAACTCATTGTAAACATACTGATTGCCTTGGTAGAGTGAAAAGTCACTCACAGCAGAGGTTGCACAAGTACTTAAAAGAGCATTGTAGAAACAATAAGATCAAATACTTCAGTGCATTTAACTGCTGCATGAATCAATTTCGTATGCAAGAGCAAGAGGAGAAGGATGTTGTGCCAAAAACAGAGCTGTTCTGTGTACTCATTTCATAGTCCAGCAAGTAGCAAAAGAGTCTGCTCTTGTAATTCTATTTTTTCAGTTTTTGTGTTAAAACAGGAGAGTAAAATGCAGATAGCTTGACTCTGCCTTCTTCAGTGTGTATCAGTCATCTAGCATTAGTGTTTTTAACCTTTTAATTTTGTGTTGATAGCTACAAAGGACTTTAAAGGGTGTAATTTTGCTACTCCAGAATCTGCCTTCATCGATTCAGTAGCACAAAAGAAGCTCTTCAATGAAAGTCTGTATCACTCCATTTTCTTTCTAAAAAGGATCAACTGTTGAGACAAAAGTTTAAACTTAAATTTGTGCTTGTGATGGCTCTTTTGGTGAGATATTTCAGCGTGTCCTTCTAAAGGAGAGAGGGGTTTATCTGTTCCTTTTCTCCTTTTTTCACAAGTTGTTTTGTGGTTGTGTGATAAAGTGAAGAGGTGGCAAGTCTGAAGCTAAATGCTGAAGAAGGCATGGACAAAATCTCTTTATCTCATTTTTGGCCCCTGTGCTTACCATAGAGACTAAATCTACAATAAGGCACAAATATAGATTTATAAAGACTATCTAAACCGATGTTAGAGAAGTGTCCAGGTGTCCCAGCAGCAGTACACCCAACTTGGCAAGTCGCTCCAACCAACATAAACTGCTGGCAGTGTTAGCAGGAGGGAAGCAACCAGGTATCATGTCCTGGTTGCTTCACTGGAACTTGTTGGGAGGATGATCAGAGTGAGACAGGGCATGGGTTCAGACCAAAAGATGTTTCTATGAGGAAGTGAGGGTTTCCAGGTAGCGTGCAGAAGTTCACAGAGGAGTTGGTAACACTAATGTAACACTATTTCATTATGAGCTCAACATTTTTATTAAATGTTAGGCAGGTCATTGTTGGCTATGGAGGAGGTTATCTGTTCAGATCATTTGTTTGATGTCAGGTTAACTCAGAAACTACATAATTGATTCAATTGAAATAAGTTGGAAAGTCTGGCCATGGGCCAAAGAAGACAAATTGATTTAAAATGAAATTTTTATAACTTTCTGCTTGAAATTATTTTTGGCCATTTTGAATTCTCCATATTTCATTCAATCTTCACCAAAATATTTGTGTAAAAATATTTGGATCGCCCCTGAAAATATATTTATCTGATATTTAATATTCTATACCATTTTGAATGGTTAGTTGCCAATTATGGCTTAAACCTTAGTCTTTTTACAGTTAGAATTTCAGTTATATAAAGTTCTTTCAGCCCCCCATAAATACAGACAGTGTGTTCATCAGTAAAAGAACAGAACATAGAGCGGGATTTGAAGCCAGCTTGATTTAATCTGCTCAGCATTCACAGTTAATCAGGCACCACACGCTCGCACTCATGTTAGACAAAGGCAGTTAGTGCAGAGTGAGCAGATTAAAAACAAAATGAAAGACAATTGGAATTTGAACAAAGACACAGTCGTACATTGACAGTAAGAATCCAACAGAGAGCTGAATGAAGAAAGTACAGAACATAACAAGGAGAGAGATTGAAACCAGGGTTTCATTTTCTTTTTTTTTCAACATCTGCTCCAGTCATTGACAAAGTAGGAACAGTGGGTTTTCCGTTAAATTCGTTTAATCCTCAGTACAATCTCACAGTGGGTCTTTTCAGCTTGGTCTCTGGAGACTTTCACCTCAATCAGGCCACATTCGTTGACAATGCATTTAACCTTGAGATCTGCTATTAACACCTGTGCAAATTTTATCTCACAAAAGCAATATTGGGAACATAATTGAATTTTTAACTCAACAGGCCCCAGGTTTGGAGATGGGCTGTTGACTTTATCTGACTGAATATGATCTGTGATAGCACTGGAAGAGAGTCTATTTACTAGATTTAACTTGAAAATACTTGATAGTTATGTTTGTTCTTCTCCACACTAGAGTAACAGGGGCTCTAAAAATGCTCAGCCAAGCCAATATGACGGAGCATCAAAAATGACTGCATCATTTATTTTACATATACACTCACTGGCTACTACCTGGGGCTGAATCTCATTTAATTACCTGTTGACTGTGTTTATTGCTTAAGAGAGTTGATTACTAATTTAATAACAAGCCACAGACTCATCAGGGTGCTCTTTTCATGAGCTCCTAATGAGCCCCCAGGAAATCAGTGGTATTCGGAAGAGCTCTCTCAACAAGTCATGTGTCAACATTCCTGAGGTTCTTCAGGACAGTTACACAAACGTATCAGGGATTCTGGGAGTGTGTGCCGTGATAATTACTGAAACAAGGCGGTAACATCCCACATGTCTCACAAATCATCATGGTCTGATGAGCTAAAGCCCCGTACAAATTCCCTTAAAGAGATTTACAGGAAGACTTTGAAACTTAAGTTAGAAAGCAGTGTGGGTTGGGCGGTGTTCATGTGCACAGTGGAAGCCTACTTTTGGATTCTGACTTAAACTTGGCTCATGAGTATGTTTTATAAAATCTGGTTGGTCAGATTAAGACTTAAAAACTTCTGGCATTTGAGGTGACGGATTTAAAATTACTCATCTCGACATGACGCCTTGCTAAGGATCACATGGAATTATTGCCAACTTTGTAGACCACACCTCAGCTCCCCTTAAACACAACATGTTTACTTACATTTAACCAGAACCAAGATCTTTGCCTAACCTTAGCCATAACCTTAGTGCCTAAATCTAACCACAGATGAGATTGTGATGTAAACCCTGGTCTCTGGTGTGATAGTTAGCATAGTTAGCACACCTAAAATGAAAAACCAAATAGTTTCTCCTGGTATTTTTGAGTCTGATATGAATCAAGTTTACATTGGTACATATTGTTCCCTGGAAAGAGTCATATGCCTGCACTTTAAGGTGCGACAAGCTTTTACCTTCTTCCATACTCTTTTATCTGTCACCAAACTGCCAGCCACATAAATTAAAGTTTTACAGCCCTAAATAGTGTTAAAAAACTCCCTTGAGTACTAAGTGTAGTTTTAAGCAGTGCAGGTGGTGACTGACTGTAGCATGTTTTCCCCTCAGGACTTTCACTCACTGCTGACACTGTTCATTACTACAAAGCCGCAAAAACTTGCCTCGACTCAGCTGATGCTACCACCGCCTCTCATACAGACTAGCTGCCCTCAATACTTCCTGTACATGTCAAACTGCAAACTGTACACCAAAGAATGCGGAAGAGAAAAACTGGGGGCTTCCGGGCTCGCC